TGTTTTTCCTTGCAGTAACTCTCAAAGGATCGCCACCTGTCGTCGTTAATTCCCTTGGTAGAAGGTCTTCGAGTCAAAATTATAGTTGTCGCTGCTCTGACCGGATAACCCTTGGTGCTTAAGGCCATTTGCAGATGTACCAGGCATGAGAAGAAAAACCTGTCTGTTTGGCCCATCTGGTAGTTCAAGGGGGTCGTCTGTGGACATGTTTTTGAGATCCACGAATCAGCCCCTCATTGGTCACCAGGGCTCTTAGTTGACCTGAGCTTCTGCATAACCTTAGGAAGAAGCACTCATGGCCGAAAAGCATAGTCCTCTCATGCTTGCAGGTCTGGTATCGGGGAGACATAAGGTGAGATCAGGCATGTTCTGGCAAGTGGCGAAGAGGTTGATGTTGGGATGACATAGCCGCTGACATAGGAGAAGAAACACCTCTGGAAGGAGCTTCCTTTCCTGACCTAGATAGAGCATCTGCCAGAACCTTGCTGCATCCGTTGTAGGCCCAGTCGATCTACCAGATGGAAGACCCGGAACGTCTGTTGAAGGAGGGAGTGAGAGTATTATATCGCCAATATGAGGGCCTCCAAATCGAGGTTGTTGATGTCCCAAGTGCACTGTGCCCTTGACCACAGTCATAAGGTCAGCTCTAGGTCTTGTGGTCGTCTGGTCCAAACCTGTAGAGAACACCTATCAACAGCTGGAATGTCAAAGATAATTTTGAGAGGGAGACACTTCCTTAGATGTTTGACTCTTCAGTCCACCAGCTGTGTGTCCGGAATCTGGATAGTCATTGGCTTTGACAACTCCTGTCATTCGGTGGATATTAGGGCTGCAACGAATACACTATGCGGCGAATACGATTCGTATCATGAATATGGGTAATGAATATGAATATTAATTCACGAATACAATAACAAGTCATCAGTTTATGTATTATTTGTCATATTCGGTGAAACAACAACAACATAAATTATTTGACATCGTTTGTTAATTATTAATATATTATACATTTATATACTGCTCTTATCCAGGTACCAGGTACTAGTATCTGCTAAAATGCGACAATAACCAGTGACCACAATATTGTTAAATGATTTACCGTTTAAATTGTATTTTTTGTTCAGCTAGGCATTGTTTTATATCCAGGGATTAAGATTACCATGTTCATTTTCTCGTAAACTAAGCCGGACACAGCAATCAGCTGTACACACGTTTTCTTGGAATCTACCGGTGATTCGGTCAAGAAACACCCAATGATATAACTTTACAGGATTTTAAATGCAAGGATCGGCAAAAGTTGTATCTGAAACTATTTTTTTATCAGTAATAATATATTCCAATATCTTGTTAATTTAGATGCAGCTGTTACTAAACATATTTAAAATAATAATAACCCTAAGCGATGCAGCTGATCGCTATTGCTGGGTATTATTTTTTACATGGAACCAGTCTGACCAGTCACCGTCAAGGATCCCCTGCACGTGATCGCGTGATCGCGAGAATTACGTGTTGACATAGAATCGTCCAACAAAAACAAATATGACTTTTAACGAATCAATGTATGGCATTTGTGATATATGTATCCATTCTCTGTCAACTTAAGTTCGTTTCAAGGCGTCAATAGCGGTAATCTGACCGTGGTTGCTGTTAATAACGGTGAGTTGTGCGATCTTCCGATCGCTTCACACACGAATTCGCCGAAATTAATTACAACAATATTAAAAGGAATTTTGAATAAAATTAATGAAATAAGTTACAAACAAAAGTCCAGATATACAAAGAACACTTTTTATAGCCAGACAGTGTAATTACATGAATAATTTGCGAACTTCAGTATGGATTTGTTGACATGGTATTTCCGGTGTTACGTGCTCACAGTAATGTCTTTCCATGGTGGAAAAAACATCAAAACTCATTAATTCATGTATAATGCGCACCCCCTTCTACACAGCTGTGTTTTTTGGAAAAAAAGTTCGCACTATTCTCAAGAAAATACGGTAAGGCTTACTGATGAATTTACGCCAATTTGACTGAATTGGTCCCAATAAGCGCCCACCCCTTCTGTCTTTTTTTAAGCGCCCTGGGCGCTTAATGGGTCGAATACAGTAGGTGTCATTGTCAATAGCCTTTCTTAAATTTTCATCAGTCCCATCTAGAAATATTTCTGTATCATCAGCATATTGTCGGAGTTTATGTTCCATATTATTCAGTTTTGATACCTTTTATTGCATTATTATCATGAATCATTATTCCCAAAGTTTCAGCAACGAGCAAGAATAGATATGGAGACAATGGGTCTCCATGATGCAAGATGAAGCATTATTTAGAAGTATGTATATCCATTTTCTCATATTAGGTCCAAAGCCAAACTTTTCCAGTGTCAACATGGTAAATTGTTCTAAAAAGGTATCAAAAGCTCTTTCAAAGTCTAAAAGTAATAGTAAACCCGGCTTATTTTGTAATTTTGTTTCAATCATATAGTAGTTGAATGTTTCCAGGGATAAAGCCAGTTTGGTTTTCATGTATAAGAGTATTAATTGTATTTTTAATTCTGTTTGCTATACATGTACTCAAAATTATATACAATGAATTTGAGGGAGGAATTGGTCGCCAGTTTTTGAGTAGTTGTTTATCTTGAGAGCCTTTTAGGTAATGACACCTCTATTCATTGTAAGGCTTAAAGCTAAAGTGTTATTTCTAAATGTTTCTGTAATATATCTGTATACCCATATTCCATTTGTATTCCAAGATCCTTCCAGAAAAGTTTGAAAAATTCTACTGGGAATCCATCAATACCTGGGCTTTTGGTTTTTTTCATAGATTTTACAGCCTTTATAATTTCATTCAATGTTAATCATGTCTTCTAAATTACAAAACTGTGATTTACTAAGTTTTGGTGTATTAAGAATGTGTAATAATTTTTTGGATTCTTTAGATATTTCTCCACTTGAAGAGTATGGTTTCTCACAAAAATTTCTTTGTTCAGGTAAAATGGATTGTCCATCAGTTATTAACTCCCCTTTTTCAGTTATAATACTGTTAATCAGTTTACTGGTATAGTTTCTGTTTTCCAAATGACAAAAATATTGTGATGTTTTCTCTCCTTCCTCGTACCACTGGATTCTGTTTCTTACCTGTATTCCCCTTGATTCTTCTTCTTTTCAAAAAGTACTTTATATTTTGACACGTCTGACAGCTTTGATTCACTCATTATATATTCTGAAAATATTCCCTAATTTCTTCTATTTGCTCTATTTTTACCTCTCAGTTTTTACTTTCTTCATTTTTGGTTTTCTTTAAATAAGTGGAAAATGATATTGATTTGCCTCTCACTTTCATCAAAAAGGTTTCTAAAAAAGAGTATCAATGATTAAATTCTACGTTTAGGTCTCCAGTTTTTCTCGCTTTAACTTTGGAATATTTAATGTTTGAATATTCTAGCTTTGTTTCTTCTAGTGTATCTTTCGCTATTTGGATATATTCATTGTTAAACAGTAAGCCCATACCTCTTTCTTTGCTAAGTGTATCTGAAAAAGTCAAAGTTATTGCAGAAGGATCAGATTTGTATCCTGTTATAATTGTAGAATCAATAGTTATATTTGCAATGTCTTTGGAAGACCAAAAAGAAGTCAAATCTAGCTTGTTATTTTGGCTTTTTCTTCCACCATGTGTATTTCTTTGCATCTTAATTATCAATTAGATCAAAGCTTTCTGTTTTTCAAGTACTAACTTTCTTACTACGGGATTGTTGAAATGCTTATAATTTTCCAAATCAACAGCTGGATTGAGTCCCAACTTCCAATCTCCGCATATGACCAGTGATTCGTTTACAAATTCGTCAAAATTATTGAATAAAGTATTTTATAAAGCAGGTTCATCTTCATTTGGCCCATAAATATTAGTCAGAGTTATCCTTATGCCCTCTATTGTGATATCTGCTATTATATAGTTTCCATTAATATCTTGTTTTTATCTATGGACTTATATTTCTAAAGTGTTACTAAACAAAATGGCAACCTTTCTTGCATTTGACTTGTAAGGCACTATTGTACTTTGAAGTACCCATTCATTTCCCATTATTGTCTTCTTTAGAAATATGAATGTCTTATGTTTACTTTTATCTGCTAGGCCCCTGCAATTTGTTGGCACTATTTTGATTCTTTTTGTTTTACTTGTCCAGTAAAGTATGTGGTGCAGCCAGTTCATCGGTTGTGCAGCCAGTTACTTGGTCCAGTGGAGAGAAAACTATGAAATTGCACCCTGTATGAGCATTACCTTTTGAAAACACATGGTTGTGTTGTGGCCCAAAGTTGGCTTTTCAAAGGACTGCTGTAGCAGATTTAAACCTCTTGAATAAATACAGTTGTCTTCATTGTTGGAACAAGCCAATGATGATACTGACAATACCAGACAACCAGGCCACGAGTGAGTGAGTGAGTGAGTGAGTTGGGTTTAACACTGCTTTTAACAGTATTCCAGTATGTGGGAGGAAAGCCTGGAGTGATGCAGGTCTTAGACGTTTACCACTTGGGTGAAACCCATTAGCACGGGTATGGTGCTGACAAACCTAGAAACATAATCGGGACAAACTGGGATTCGAACCCACAATCATAGGTTTCTGGCGTGCCCAAGGGACGCAACTCTGCACAGCGAATTGTGGCGCCTTTGACGACTGGGCCATCCGTGCCCCCCAACCAGGCAATGACATAAGCTCACATGCCTTTCAGTGAGGTGAGCTAAAAATTATAGAGAAATTGCCACAAATGGATTTTTAACATGGCTGCTTTGGTGGGAACAAGCAATGAAACATTCAAATTTACAAAGAGACATTCAGTAAACTACGGTTATAACGAACTCAAAGGGACTACTAATATTAGTTCGTTATAACCGTAGTTCGTTATAAGTACATACACAGCAATGACTACAGCAAGTAGTCGGGACCAAAATGTAAGTTCATTATATCCGTAGTTTACTGTATATGCAAAGTATTGAATATTTACCCCCAAAAGTCCTCCACTGTATCAAAAGAGGTGATACAACGCTGATTCTCTGTCCAATCTCTATTCTTGTCATTCTTGAAAAACCACAAGGACCATCTGTTCTGCAAAGGATGCTTAATTAGCATCTCAGGAGAAGCAACTGCATCATCCACAACTGCAATGCCACCATCCTTCTCTCCATCTTCAGATTGGGAAGTTGCCCCCTGCTAATAACAGAAATCATTCACAATATTCATGTGTAACCTTACATGTATGGAGTTTAACATTGCATTCAAGATTATTGCACTTTTATAGCAACATGCATGCACGTGTGCGTGTGTGCCTGCATGCATGCGTGCGTAATGCTGATTTTGTAGTGCTAGCCCACTGAGATACCATGCCACAGTTTAACATGGAATACCCCACTCAGACATAGAAAACGGACTCTGAGCCGACCAATCCTTGTTTTAGCCCCTTAAGGCTGAGCACCAGGCAGGAAAACAAGTCCCATCTTTTAACGTTTTTAGAATGACGCGGCCAGGGATCAAACCCACGATCTTCCGCTCTCATGGCAGACGCTCTACTACAAGACCATGGATGTGGTCTTACATGTATGAAATGCATATATACTTAAACATAAGAATTGGAAATTTCAAGTATGAGTTAAGATGTAGTAGCCTTATTGCTGTATATCCACCAAAATATAAAGAAAAGAAGTGAAATATACCAGTAAAAATCTCTGACCCCGTTGTCCATACAGCTTTATTTATCATGTTTTATGTACTGCAAACAATTTTTCTCTTAAATAATATTAAATATGAAACATTTATTTGTATGCTTGAAAGGCCCCTATTTTTTTTTGTCTTATACAGTAGCAATAGAATTACCCTACTGTTCCCGTCGTCTAAGAAACCAGAAGAAACAGCTACCGGTACTACAAGATTACATCCTGTTCATGATTCAACTTTGTCATGGCTTCCGAGTGCAACACTGCCCAACAATACAGTAACCTTCATCAACTGGGCCCTATCAAACAATCTGAAGAATTGCAGCATTCATTTGCCATGCATAAAAGTTTCAGCTTTATTGGTCAAGAGGTGAAGTTTCAGCTTAGTTTCAGAAATTTCTGATACAGTGAGCTTGGATATAATGAACAACTAGGGACCAGAGAAATCAGTTTGTTATATACGTTGTTCGTCATATACGTTTTCGCTCGAAAACGTCCACCATCTTGGCTAAAACAAAACACAATACACATACACATTTATGCATGTTTCCTCCAGCATCTACCAGTGAACCATAAGCATAGCACTTTGGTACAGGGGATTGCTATTAACTCATGTTTTTATGTATGGAACAATTTAACCAGTCACCATCGTGACTTCCGGCACTACATGTATTTCGATTGTGAAAACGTTATGTTGACATTTTTTTAAAAGACTAAGGAGGCCATATTGACAATCAGATATGAACCTCTTTCACAAGCATGTGAAATTTGAGCTCCATGGTCTTACGGTTTCTGAAAAGATGTTAAAGATAGATGACACATGACTTTTTATATTTACCAGTATGGTTGCTGGCAGTGGCAGATATTCAAGAAGCCTCAAACAAACTATAAATATGATGACAATCTCACCAAGTTTCACCAACGGTTGCATCAAGATAAGAAATAATATATGTGAGTTGGAATATTTATTATAAAATATGCCGCTCCACTTGCCTGTCATTTCCAGAGAGGAAAATCATCCAGAACACTCAAAACAAAGACAGACCTTCAACAACAGCAAATGATCCCACCAGTGCAGTTAACCACATTACATGTGATTGTGGGGACTCTTGTGTTGGAGAAACATTAAGCCCTCTTCCCAAAATCCCTCATATCTGACCATATCCAAGCCCATCCATTGGAACAACATCAACATACTCACCATGCTCTTCAAACCAACCACAATATCTGGAAACTCCATCTTCATCGTAAGACCCCAACCAACCATCAACAGAGTAAGTGAGTGAGTTGGGTTTAACACTGCTTTGAAAAGTTTTCCAGTTATATCACTGTGTGTCATTTTGATATGAGAGGAAAGCACAAAGTGATGCAGGTCTTTGACATTTACCACTTTAGTGAAACCCAAGAGCAAGGGTATGGTGATGAAAAACCAAGAAACATGGTTTCTGGGCGAACCAGAATTCAAACCCAAAATCATAGGTTTCTGGTGTGCCCAAGTACAACTATTCACAGCAAATTGCTGCACCTTAGACATTCACCTTGAACACATTCAATATGTCTAAGCTTATTTTCTATACTAAGTCTACAACCCCCTTCTAATATGAACATACATACATACGTACGTACGTACGTAGGGGGGCAGTCGGGCAGCCTAGTGGTTAAAGCGTTCGCTCACCACGCCGAAGACCCGGTTTGATTCCCGACATGGGTACAATGTGTGAAGCCCATTTCTGGTGTCCCCCGCCGTGATATTGCTCGAATATTGCTAAAAGCGACGTAAAAACAAACTCACTCACTCTTATGTCATTTATCTTGCTTTCTTTTGCTTGATGTAATCAAAATGTGGGAACTCCAATTAAGGATTGAAGTTGTATTTGTTGACGTTCATCAGCTGATGAAGACAGTGCCTCACGTGAGCAAATTCCATGATAACAGATACATAAATCATAACAAAACTATCCATTAAAATTAATCTTTAATTATCTGAAGTGAACTATATTAACACAGAGTCGTGATGCCATCCTTCCCATACATTCCATTTGGAGTGACATCCCTTGGTTTTACAAACAGCAGAAAATGGCGGCTACGGCATGTCATTCACTTGAAATGAGCATCCAGAAAAAGTTAGCGCTGGAAAAGAAATCCAGACCCAGCTGATGCTGAAAATAAATTGATATTAACATTCAGTGAACTTGGGGTGTGTGTTTGAGTCTTACTACAGCTGCAGATGACAGGAATTACCGCTTGAGGCGGTGCGGTTGGATTTCCCAAAGCAATACATGACAGTGTGGAGCTCAGTGATTTCTTTTGGTAAGTCGAGTGTTCTCTGTTATAGCTTCGAATGGACACTTCATTATGGTGACCCGACATATACATGATCTGTCTGGCCTCAAAGCCTGCATCATTCATAGCCTGAATAGATGTCGTCAGTTTCCCTAATGATTTTTAATGTTATTTTTAAACATTGAGGAATTCCTCTCAAGAAGTTCTGTATGTCTCTGCTCGGTTGACAACGTAATTGCGTGACATACTGACGCTCATCGTAAAATGAACGACAGTCAGCTACTGTCGATATAAATTCATGGCAACCTGGTTTTGTGACGTGCAACTCGTTTTTCATTGTTAACATGCACCTGGTGCAAATTAAATCAAGTTCCTTAAATCTAGCCGTGTGCGTGCATGTGTGTGCCCTTCTCATCTTAATACTGGCTTCCAATCAACTTGTCCATACCAATCACTGTGTTGTTTTTACTATCATGCCTTGTTAATCATATTTACCATGTTTACAGTCAAGTCTTGTTAATCCGACACTCGTTTATCTGACACTTATGATGGGAACCGATTAAATCAGTGCTATTTAGACCTGTTAATCTGACAGTCTTGCACTCCGACACACCTAATTTGCAACGAATTACAAAATCAGTCTGGTTAATCTGACACATTGATCAGCCTGCCTGATGACTGCCTGTGAGTACACTGCCTGTGTTTTGATGCTAGACGAGTCGGCTAGTAGCTGCATATTACAACGGCTGCAGAGAAAAACTTGTTGAACAATAAACATCTAATGCTTTTAATAACAAAATAGGATTAATAACATGCTTAGATTACCTCAATCTCATTAAAAACAGATACACATACTCACTACTGTACTACAGGTCACGTCAGAACGTCCTTTCCAAAGGTTGCCTTTATATGCAAAAGGCCAAAATTAAAGACCAACTTCAAGAATGGTGTGTCTGGTAAGGGATGGATTCCTCAGTTTATAAAGCACCACCCCAATATCCATGTAAGATCTCCATTCCCGTCTCCATAGTCAGTTCAAGAATGCTCAATGTCTGAGAGACACAAACAACTTGTCAAGGACATGGAGCTTGGCAATAAGCCACGTAGATAAAACTAGTGTCCCACCGAGGCACAAACAAAACAAAGTGCTGATGGAAGCAGGGGTCAAAAAAATTCCAGGGCACGTGGGAAATGTAACAGTGTTGGCGACTTTGCGTGCATAAATGCAGTGGGTTACCATATCACCCAAAGTGACCCATAGGAAGACCAAAATCCTGTGGGCTTACAATACTGTTTTTAGTGGTAGAGAGGCGATCTTTGCAGAATGGTGGGAAGTCAGCATCTCACTCTAAGGTTACTAAATACCTAAAACAGACATCAAGTAAATAGGATCCACATGAGTTCCACTGAGGAATAAAAGAGTATTTATTATTCGGAGAGTGTGTGGGACTGGTAGTTTTTATGTTTGATCGCTGTTTTTTCTCTCTCTGAAAGACGGAGCCGTTTTAATCCACCATGTCAAACAAACTAAATTGTGTGTCAAATCTGAGGCAATTCATTTTTTCCCAGCATGCCAGATATTGATAATTTTGCATCGGAACAATCACATGCACAGATCATGTACAGGTTGATGTCAACTTCCTGTCGGTAATGTCATCTGGCACACATATTTTTAACTCTCTAGAGTCTAATCAGCGGGATATCATGCACAATCTCTAAAATGTTTTATCAATTATTAGAAGGTATCACAGGCTTCATTGTACAGACAGTACAATCCTGAAGCCTTAACACATGCTTACTTGACAATGTACAGTAGGTGTTGATGTGGGTATCAAGACTGCTGCACAGATGTTGTCTGTATCTGAAATTACTCTGAGAAAAAGGGCAATAGGTAGACAACACCCTGTAACCATGTTTCGGTTTATATGAGCACATTTTCAATGCCATGAAACACAACCACATGCATGAAGTTGCCATATCTCCTTTAGACAGAAGCACAATTTGCCTTCTAGCTTTTAAGGCATACTCTGCATGCCTGATGCCAAATATCCTGTGTTTGGCATTTAATTCCAGCAAGCAGAGCTTGTTGCATGATGTCTGGGTAGTGGGTTCACTTGAAATACTGCACTCCCGACACTTATTGTTTACACACGCATGGTGAATTCAGGGGCCCATGTCACTCAGATAACTCTGAGGATAGTATGGAAAATTGTTTAA